AATGTCAGTTGACCTGTGATTATTTTTAAGAATTATACCTACCTATGAATTCATTTTATATACGTATATTTAATGTATATGTGTAAGTTCTCGTGATATATGTGATTTATTATAAATAAGTGATATAATAAAACATTATTTAGACTATAAAACGGTGTTTTTGTTTGAGTAATTATCTACATAACATCAGGCCTTTTATCCCCGATGGGGTAGGCAGAGGTAAATTATCTACTGATTTCTTTAGGGATTGTCGTATCAAGTGAAGGGAACTTTCTTTTACATTGCATTGCAAATTAAAATAATAATCGGTAAATAACACATACTGCCGCAGTTTCACCTAAGTTTTAACTAAAATTTTGTAAATATAATTCAATTTTGAGAATTCTTAATTCTCAGTTATAGTAAAGAATCTGCAACAGACTTACTTTTGACAATATTCTCACTCACAAATCATTATGATTGTATCTGATTGCAAAAATTTTAAATAATGAACAAGTTTTAGAAATAATATCAAAAGAAAGAATTAGAAGGATTCGAATTATTATTTATCACACGATCTGATTTACATATAAAAATGGAAATATTTTTTTACCAAAGTTTAGTATTTTATTATTTTTATATTAGCACCGGATCTTCGAAATAGACCAACTTCGTAATCCTTATTGAGCAACGCCTGTTACAGACCTAGTGAACCTTGAAACCACCAAGTATGTATTTTTTTAAGGGGTGAAAATCATCGAATTTCTGCTCCCGCCTGGGTGAGGCGGGAGGGAGTGTCAGACTCTTACTGACTAAAAACCACCCCGTTTCTTCTCCTGCACGTCGAGCCGGAGCCCCGGTAACCCACAACCAAGTAGCTATGGGAATTACATAGGTATGTAGAGGTAGTAGGAAATGAAATGGTGATCCCATTCTTGAGCGGGAAGTCTTTAACCAGTCGTCGCGCATATTTCGGCTAATTTAAATAATGATGACATATTTAGTCTATAAGAAGGTTGTTCCACACAATTCTTGATACAAAGATAAATTAATCTCTAGCCAATAAAACCGGACCGGTCGCAAATTAGCCACAAGCGAATTTATGTTCTATTTACATAGAAACATAGATCATTTGTCAACATTCATAATAGGTAAATAAATGTCGGTCGAGATAGTTCCCCTGTGTATCGTTCGAGAACTAAATAAAATTAATAAATCGACTCGGGAAATGAACCGATCGCTTTATTGGATAGGCAACGAATTGAGATTGATTACAATTAATTTAATATTAATAGTGTTTATTATACGATGCTTCTTATTGTTCTGCCTTGTTGGCAGTGGTAGCAAGTGCGACTGCCGGACAAGGGGTCTCGGGTTCGATTCCCGGGTCGCGCAAAGTATTACTGGGTTTTCTAAAAATGTCACCCCGGCAATAGGCTTACCCTTTATTACATGGGACTCATAACATTAAAAGTGAAAAGTGGATGTTACATTCTACAGTGGCATTAAGTGCCGTTATGTGCACCTCTGCCCACTTCGGGGATAAAAGAAGGAAATGAAATTGTGATTCCATTCTTAAGCGGGAAGCGTTTAACCAGTTGTCGCCAATGTTACGTAAAAAAATGTCTGAGAAAAGGGTTTTCAGTGCATTCGTTAAGAGCATTCCTGTCCTAATGTTTTCGGTAGATCAAAATCAAGAATATTGTGTTATGAAATGATTTCTCACTGATGTAAAGTGAGTGTTATATTTAATTGTGTGCTCCTTTATCTAAGGCTATATCTGTGGTGTGGTGGCAAGATTTTAGACGCTCGATTCACACGCATGAGAGTGCAGCTTCGAAACCTACCAACGGCGGCAACTGCAAGTACCAATGCGACTTTTTCCGAGTCATATGCACTTTCTAAGATTATACAGACACTTCTTTAGCCTTCTTTGCCTTTTTAATTTTGAGGGGAGAAAATCATCCTGCAATGGCTTCTCCCGCCTTGGGTTAGGCGGGAGGGAGTGTCAGACTCTTACTGACTAAAACCACCCCGTTCCTACTCCTGCTCTACGAACCGGAGCTCCAGCAACCCGATAGGCCTTCCGTATCGGGTATCAGCCCCTTACTGGGCCCCATCTGTGGTTAGTGGTTGTCTAATGGCTCTTTGAGGCACGCGCGGCTTCACCACTGACCAACGGTGAATGAAAACATCGTTAGGAAACCTGGGCTTATAATTTCTAATCATAAGTTTGAAATCGTCATCCCGCATTGAGCAAGCGTGCTTAAACCTTCTGCATGTAAGACGAGGCTTTGCTCAACAGTGGGCTATTAGTTTGATGTTTCCTCTATCTCAGTAGATAGATACCTCTTTCTGAAAAATATAAGGCACGCCTCCGTAGCCTCCGTACCTATTATCACGACCAATGACATATTACTTTTATGATATTATCATAAAGATAATTATGTTAATTGGCTCAATACGTATCTAATATTCAGCGTATAATGTCGATGTTACACTATTAGTTTATCAGTCATACATACGTCAACCTATCCAATCTGTTGGTAAGTTTAATAGATTTTCGAATTTATTGCTAAAAAATAAAGTTGAAAATTGTCTATCGATATGTGTGAGGACGTGAAATGAAATTTGACATATTAATCTTAAAAGAATATGTTCAAAAAATATACCTACCTATAATAATCAATTTTATCTCGCAAAACGAACACGATGAATAAGTAAATAAAATTAATTAATACAAAAGCAAAGACTATGTAGTTTCAAGAATAATCTATATAAATAAAAATGAATTTCCGTTCGTTAGTCTTGCTAAAACTCAAGAACCGCTTAACCAATTTAGCTAATTTTGGTCTTGAAATGTTCGTGGGATCCAGGGAGGGTTTAAAAGGTGAGAAAAAAAATAGTTTGCCGGATCAGCTAGTAAATAATATTTTTACGCCTTTGACTGCCCACAGAAAACTGTTGAAGGCAAATCCTCCGCTAACGTAGGCCACCGATGACCTACGTGGCGGTTAACGTGTTAAGTATAATATCATGACAGTAAATGTAGTGATTTTAAACGTGATCGTAAATAGGTCAACAAATTCTCATAGTATCTATGTACATTGTATATGTATTTCTTTTTAGACTCATTCGATAGGTACTTAATTAACCAAGGAATAATGATATATCCTATTCAATTTCATGTTTTAATTATGATGTGATGTTTTGTATGTCAAATTAAAATTATTAATTAGCTCTTTGTTATGTCTTTTTCATGTTTACATTCAAACTTTCATGAGATATACTAAATTAATTAGTTACTGAACAGTCCGTGATTAAGGCGAAAACACTAATTAATGTCTCTTTTTAGTTTAAAGAATGAGGGTTTACACGCAACTTGAGGCGCTAGTAGCTTAAGACCAATAGAATATTCGCTGATATCAAGTCACTAGTTAGTCAGCTTGTGATTAGACTAATAGGACTTAATAACCAATTAGCGCCATCTCTTGAGCGCAAAATCGAAAACTTATTCTGAATTCAGTAGAAACAATCATTTTCAAGCACCAGATGACACTAGTGTGCACCGTACATCGTTTTGTCCAATAGAAAAGTAGCTAGTGTCATACCGTTGGACGTTGAATTTTTGACAGATATAGCGATTGGACAAACGCACTAGATCTTTCTAAAATTGCTAGTAATAAATCTAGATTAGCGCCATCTAGTGAACATGAAATGGTACCCCCGTTAGAACAAAGTCCAGTGATTACTTATGGACATTTTTAATTCTGTCTTTGATTTTACTGTTTTAATCTTAAAACAGCGCCATCTACTTTTTGGAGCAGGACACAAACTGCTGCAAATATGACAGGCGTATTGCTTCCTATGTAACGTGTCGTGGGTTTTTCTCCCAGTGACTTATTCTGTATGTGATCAAAATTATTTTTATGGTAAAGGGCGTCTAATAAGTAGACAGATTACCTGATGACAGCAATCGATGTCGTCGATGGGTAAACGCAACAGACGTTACAAATAGGTTATTGGCCTTTTGGGAAGGATTGGGCCTCCAATAACCTCACTCACAAAGCGAAACACAATGCTAGCAACGTGAGAAGTTTCTCGCTGGTAGAGCCGGCACATTCGTGCTAAAGGAATAGCTCTTACTGAGCGTCCCGAAGCATAGAGATTACTAGCAAGTCCTCTTATGTAGAGGAGGCTCATAATTCATACAATGGACTATTTTTTTATTTTTTTTTAAGCGGGGAAAATCATCGAATGACTGCTCCCGCCTGGGTGAGGCGGAAGGGAGTGTCAGACTCTTACTGACTAAAAACCACCCCGTTCATTCTCCTGCACGTTGAGCCGGAGCCCCGGTTACCCGTTAGGTTCTCCGCGACATACAATGGACTATAGGTGTGTTCAAACTACGGACTGTAGGTGAAAAATTGGAGAAAGAACTTTCCTACTTTTATCCTAACTGGAACTTGAACCTTTCCTTCTTGGATAGGTATGAACTATGGGTAAAAGCCATCTAAAGCCATGTGAAATTTGAAATGAAAGATTTAGACATAATATAACATCACACCTTTTATCCCCGAAGGGGTAGGCAGAGGTGCACATTATACCACTGTACAGTGTAACACCCACTTTTTACTATTTATGAGTCCTATGTAATAGGGGGTGAGCCTATTGCCATATACCGGGCACAATTCCAGACTCCGTGCTACTACTGAGAATATTTAAAAAAACCCAGTAATACTTTGCCCGACCCGGGAATCGAACCCGAGACCCCTTGCAGTCAAGTAGGCAGAAAGATTTAGAATAAAATTAAATAAAAGAAAAACATTAAATTATATTATGATTATTTAATTATATTATTTACAAGTCAGTAGGTAATCCGTAAAAAATAATGTCAAAATTAGCTCATAAATTAAATTAGAATCACAATATTTTCGTACAATATTTACAATTTACAATCAATATTAGTTAATATTAATTACAATATGTTTTATATACATAAAATTAAAACTATCAGATCATTATTTTATCACATCTTCTTCTGGCACCTCTTCTAACGGGATCTCTTCACAGTTTAGCTGAAATTAAAAAAAAATGCAATATTAACCATATTGTATTAAGCAAGTTTTTGTTGAAGAGGTCGAAACTGTTTTCTATGGGATAAGCCGGTAAACGAGCAGACGGATCACTTGATGGTAAGCAATCGGCGTCGCCCATGGACACCTGTGCGTTACCGGCCTTTTGGGATTAAGAATTTGAAGATTGTACATGCAATGTTACCAAGAATGCGATTCTGTAGTTTGGCAGAGTACTCATGTTATTAGACGATTTTTATAAAACTCAGTTTCAGCGTTAAATCTAAAATTGTATGCGGTACATAGATGGTAAAAAGCAATAGGTTCTCCCTAATAATTTCATAGGATTCACAACTGGTGACATTTAGTTATTATTGTGCAAATCGGCCTAACTGTTTGTTGAATAAATGACTTGATTAATAATTAAGGGTTTTTCAATTGTTGGAATTAAAAGTTCAGTTATAGCCTCTAGAAATAGTGTACCATAGAGGGGTTTCGAACCACATAGTTCTTCCTCATGAGCAGCGTTGGCGCTCGTCTCGGTGTTGCTATTTGCACTTGGTTCGAAACTAGTAGAGCTTGTCTCAGTATATTCAAGTGAGTAACCCGCGATTTTTAGTTAATGTAGTATGTCTCACGATAGTTATTATAAAAACAGTGCACTAAACCACAACTGACCAATACATCAACCTCAGTAATAAAGAACTAAATACTTAATTATAATTTGTCCTCCACTTCACAAATAAAAATACAATTTATTCCATTCCCTTCTATAAAAGAGTTCATTATATTAATTGTTACTAAGAAAATGTCTGAGTTGAAAGTGTTTGATGCAATTACTTACCAATATTTCATCATTAGGTACTCTAGACAGCAGATCGAGTATTTCATTATTCGGTACTCGATTTGGTCGAAGTATTTTTCTTGTAAACTTGTGGATTCCTGTAATTGTTGAATATTAATTTTATTGTTGGTAATAAAACTGATTTGTTGTTTAAACCTTAGCCAAAGTACCTATATTGTTGTAAATACAATCATGACTATGTAGATTTAAGATTTGAAATTGTATGAATTGGATAGTGTCAATGCACTTTGGGCGTGTGGTTTTGAAATTTTCAAGAATAATTCAGGGCATATGACAATTGCAGTGGCCAGTGGCTCTTGTCAGACTTATTAACTGGTCAAAGTAATTTGTTCACATCGTAATATTGTGTTGTCTTTTACACACTTCAAATCAAATTAATTTAATGCATCTATAGTGTGTACAGGATGTTTTACAATTTTTTATGTAATGTGTTCCAACTATAGACCCTTTTGGTCCTAACAAAAGTACTTATTCTACTTACAAATTAATAAGAATCATTGTTATTATTATTAGTTATGATATTTTCAATAGTAAATACGCATTGAATAAACTGTTGATAAAATCTACTGGGTATGAAAGATACAATCAAGTATCTAAATGCTAAGTAAACGAGCCATTTCAGATCTATGTATAAATAATATAGAGTCGAACTTACCCCAAATCATGAATATGTATTTCGTGGGGATCATAAACATGACAAAAGCCACCACTAGTATGATAAATATCGCCAATAGACTGAGAAACGGCACTGTGAAGTTGAACAGACTGAAAAGAAAAGAGTATTTTGATTAGAGTCAAAGTCAAAGTCAAAGTGAAAGTCAAAGTCAAAGTCAAAGTCAAAGTCAAAGTCAAAGTCAAAGTCAAAGTCAAAATCATTTATTTCAATTAGACCAGGGTGGCACTTTTGAACGTTAACAACAAATATGTAGAAAAAATTTAGAAACAAAAATAATATGTTAAACTAAGATTCTCTGTACGATAATATTATGGCCAAAGATAACATACATAGGTACTGTCACGTCTTAAACTCTGTAGGTAGAGATAGTCGAAGGTGCACATGATAAATGAGTTCTGAGTCCCGGGGTCAATTTAAGACTCCCGTTACTACTGAGGAATTCTTGAATAACTGTACAGGGTTCAACTATATTTTCCCGGACCTAAGAATCCGAGTCTAGCTCTGCGGTTTCATTATAACTGCATTTATTTTTTTTAATATTTTGTGCGCCGACGTTTGTCCACTATCTCGACGAGTGGTAAGCGATGATGCAGCCTACGATGGAGCACGTCGTCCCCTAAGCAACCTATTCATGTGGGCCTTGAAGACACCCAGGTATACCTACCCTTCAGAAAATACGATTCCACTCCTTAGCAGTACGCACAAAGAAGCTTAATGCGAAGCGCTTCGTGCGTGTGGGTAATTATTGATGTAGTATTCTCTTTTTCAGTCACTAGTGACTTATGTGATTATTGTTGGTATTGTATAGTACTAAACTATTATAATGACGTCATTTGAATAGCAACTATTATCCACCATATTTTACTAGGCACATTTATAATGACAAGCTACCAGTTGAATGGTGTCAGAATGACAAATGACGTGTAATAACTGAGATTATGATAGTTATTAACTATTTTATTACTGTAGCTGCCTCGAACGCAAGTGTGAGTGAATAGTGCCGAGGATAAGATAGGTACGATTCTCGGGTCGGGTCTGAAATTACATTGGAATTAGTTGTAAAATGTCGTTATGTTAGGTGTAAATTAATCAAACTCTACAACACAATAAAATGTTTAAAAAGATCACACTATTTATCTATTTAAGTTAACTAAGTTTATATAGTTACTACAAGTTCTACTATATTTCGAAAATTTCAACTTACTTTTTAATACTTTCACCTAGATTAGCGAATGCTCCGATAAAGTTCTGTACACTCTGCACCATTTCTTGCAAGCTATTTATTTTTTGTCTCAACGATTCTTTTTTCTCTTCCTGTAATTAAAAATCTTGTGTTAGTCGGTAGTTGTTTGTGTCGTTTAGAACTAAAATAGATCGACTTTTAATCGTTCGGACGTGGACTGTTTTTGAACAAATGTAATTATTTTTAGTTCTTTTAGTAGAGGAAAGTCCCGTAACTCCGGACGGCACCTAACGCCAGACACTTGTGTCTCGATGACTGATAACACAAACGATTCAATTTTTACTAAAAATCTTAGGTGTCTGCCACTAGTCGACTTCCCCCTAAAAATTGAATCGCTCGCGTTATTAGTTATCGAGATAATACCGGCGTTAAGCGACTTGCCCGTGAAGAATTGTAAATTTTTAATGATTGAATCCTCATTCATTTAATACTAAAAACATGATAACCTTACCTTATCTTTCTTCCCATCCTCCTCCACTGGATCATTCCTTTTCAGAAAATAGTCTTTCCCTGAAAAATAATGAAGATAAAAGATTAGTAAATAATGATTTAATTTTATTTGTGTCATCGATTATTTGTTTCAAAAACCATTTGACATTAGTTCCAAATCAGATTAAACACAATCCCTTAGCGTCGACTATGTAATACTCGAAATATTTTAGCAATAAGGAACTGCTTCATAACATTAAAACTTTAGCCAAAGATAATTTTATCAAGGGACAATTTTGTAGTACATTTTATCTTAACGTCTGGTACAGTGTTGGGTACAGAAACTGGACTAATTTGTCCACTATCTTGATACAACGCCAAAAGTTAAGACGAGAAAAAGACTCCGCTTTTTGTGGGCCCGGCGGCTGTGGACGCAAACTAATTACATTATATTAAAAAAAATTTTTGGTATTTTCGTAAAAAGGTTGTTTTGTGTAGTTGTTTTCTTCGACAGTGTATGAATTTAAGATATTGGCTAAGGCTCAGGCTTGGACTACCGTGTGTGTGATTCATGCAATAGGTACAAACAATGTAACAGTAGGTGCTTGAGTATAAATAAACTTAATGTTTCCATCTATATAAATAAAAATGAATTTACGTTCGTTAGTCTCGCCAAAACTAGAGAACGGCTGAACCGATTTGGGTAACGTTTGTCTTGAAATGTTCGTGGAAGTCTAGGGAAGGATTAACCGCTTGAATGCCCGTATATGAGACACAATAGAAAATACATTGTGTCACGCGTGGGTCCCCGTTTAGATATACGACGGGTTAAAGGGCGAGAAAAAAATTTGAGGCATTACGAAGTTTACCTGGTCAGCTGGTAAAGAATATTCTTAAGTCGGCTACCATAGATAAATAAAAATGAATTTCCATTAGTTCGCTAAAACTCGAGAATGGCTATTTGGCTAATTTTGGCTTTGAAATGTTCGTTCAAGTCCAGGTTTAAAAGATGACAAAGTAATTTTTTGGGTGGTACGGTTTGCCAGCAGCTAGTGATAAATATTTTTGGTTATTTAAGTTAGAGTTGACTATAACTACATAATTAGGGGCCTATGTAGGTAATGAGATTTTATCTTATGGTAATTTAATTTTTCTATCGAATGGATATTTAAACGTCAAGTATTTTCAAAGTCAAAGTCAAAATCATTTATTTCATTTAGACCAGGAAGGCACTTTTGAACGTCCACATAAAAATATTTAAAAGTGCTCATTTTAAGGTGTGGATTCCTATGGAGAAGAACGAGCAAGAAACTCCATAGGTTACTCTTTGTCAATCAGGTTTACAATACAATTCTCTAGTTACATAGTTTTGTTGGTTCGATTGTGCGAGAATAATGTAACACCATAATTCAGTCAAAGAGATCGAAGTTGAAGATTGTTGATAGCTAAATGTAAAGTAAAATATACTTACATCGAACGAGGAAGTATTTCGGAGGTCGATACCAAAAGAAAGGTATGAGCAGTATTAGAGGCAACATCCAAATTTTGAAGAACCAACAGAACATCAGCCATGTTGTCAATGCTACCACATTCGCCTTCCTTGATTCCCATTCAAAACATGTTCTGGAAAAGATGTAAATAATAAATATTTGTTTCTGAACCATGTTTCACTTTTTTGAATCTCCAAAATCAAGAAATACTTTAACAAATGCTTGATTAAGTGTAAGTTCTTTTTATTAACGTTAAAATATAGAATGCATTGGTTAGGTAAATTCTTCTTGGTAGGGAGGCAGGTAAAACGCTGACCCATTACACTACTGTAGGTACAAAAAACGTATGATTGGTTTCGGAAACTGTACTATTTTTATTAATTATGTTCCCTGGTTGAATGGGCTTTTGGAGTAGTTACCATGATTGACAAGCGCAGTTTAAAGGTTTTAAGTTTATTAGAAAGCGTTGTTGATCCAATGCTATCAAATGTATAGGTCCTTATATACGCTCTTATAACACTTGCGGAGAAATGAGGGGTAGTGACAGACGCATTCTCCTTTATCGTTACCACATTCCATACACTAGCATTGTAAGTAAAACTCTTAGCAATAATTTCCTTGCAATTAAGTCTAGTATTGAACCACCATTCAGCAGAAACGAGCTGATCAAAGCCAATAAGTGGCGCACTTAGTGTGGTAGAAAATTCAACTTAAAAGTGCAAACTTGGTAAGAATTTGCCGACACTTGCTAAATGTGAAGTTTTCACTGCAAGTCGTTCGGTTTGTAATTTTGTTTTAAGGCGTTTCAAGCTTTCGACTTAATATTTTACGATTTTTAAGATGTAAGTCAAAGAAACTTATGTGTTAGGTGAAAATATTGAACACATAACATAACATCACGCCTTTTATCCCAGGGGATAGGCAGAAGTGCACAGAGAAGTAACACCCACTTATCACTATTTATGTTATGAGTCTCATGTAATAGGAGGTGAACCTATTCCCATATACCGTGCACAATTCCAGACTCCGTGCTACTACTGAGATTTGTTTAAAACCCAGTAATACTTTGCCCGACCCGGGAATCGAACCCAAAACCCCTTGCCCGGCAGTTGCACTTGCGACGATTTGGCCAACGAGGCAGTCAAGAGCAAATATTGAAAGAATTTTTAAAATGAGACTTAATTGAAAGGGACTACGCATCATCTGCGAAGGCTCTTGAATGAACCAAACCAAACCAAATCAAAGACCAAGTAGCAGCATTCTCACAGATGGCAAACTTTCTTATGTGGATCCATAGCCCAGTAAATGGATTCCTTGGGGTTATTGATAACGACAAGAATATTACATTTAATTTATTTAAAGTATATTTGGGCAAAGTTTACATATTTGTTTTTTTTTAACCCCAAGGTGGGAAATCCTCATGGAGCCCCCTCGTCTGGGGAGGGCGAAAGGGACTGTCAGACTCTTACTGACTAAAACCCACCCCGGTGTCCCGTCTCACAAGTGGTTACGAGGGTGCGGGAGTCACATTATTCCGCAGCCCCCGAACTCGTGGCGGCCTGCCTTACCAGGATCCACATGTATTTGTACCTACGTTAAATTAAGAAACTTACTTCATAACTCTGAAAGATTCCATTGTCCAATTAAACACGACTTTAGCTCTAGCGAGGTTCTTTGAAAATGTATGCCGGTCCAATTTGGGTTTGACTTCTAAGTATTTAACTTCTTTCGGGTTTATCACGCGAATCGATGCTGGCATCTGGAAAGTGAAAAATATATAGTTAGACCATTGAAATATATTTAAAATAAACTGACTGCCTCATTGGCCGAGTGGTAGTAAGTGCGACTGCCGCGCATGGGGTCTCGGTTTCGATTCCCTGGTCGGGTAAAGTCCTACTGGATTTTTTTTTAAATCTCAGCATTAACAGAATCCATGCTGGATTTTGTAAATGTTCTCGGTGTATGGCAATAGGCTTATCCCTATTACATGGGATTCATAACAGTGAAAAGTGGGTGTTACATTGCACAGTGGCATTAAGTGCCGTAATGTGCACCTCTGCCTACCCCTTCGGGGATAAAAGGCGTGATGTTATATTGCTGCGGTCGGCATAAGCTACACGGTTGGCATGGTGACAGATTTGATATCGGCATCAAAAAATAGTAATGCACTAATTTATAATTCCGGGAATCGGATAGTGTTCTTTATCCTTATCCTTACTTATATTATAAATCGGAAAGTGAGTTTATTTGTTTGTTCCACTTTCGCGCCGTTACTACTAAACCGATTGCTTTGAATTTTTGCAGACGTGAAGTTAGAAGTCTGGATTAAATAATAGGGTACTTTTTATACCGGAAAAATTTGATATTCTCGAGGGAAAACGAAATTATTGGTATAGATGGCGCTGTGTGTATTGGTATATGTCACATAGGCTACTTTTTGTGACGCGAGCGAAGCCGCGGGTAAAAGCTAGTGGTCTATAATTCCATTATACACTACCACTAGCCTGAAGACTCATTAATAAAAAATTAAAATAACCATAAGGTAGGTAATATTGTGAATGTTGCACAAAGAGAAATTACTTCACAAACGCTATTCTCATTATCTTTGTCTTTATTACGTCACGTTTTCCTGTTTGCCTTATTTTTCGCCTGTCTAGCTAGACAGATAGTTTTATAAGGAAAATGTTCTTCCCTCTAGTATTTTACTTCCACCTTGCTGGTTGAGCGATCACAAGTGATAGTCCCAAGCATTTTTTAAAGGGGGAAAATCATTGAATATTTGCTCCCGCCTGGGTGAGGCGGGAGGGAGTGTCAGACTCTTACTGGCTAAAAACCACCCCGTTCCTTCTTCTGCACGTCGAGCCGGAGCCCCAGTTACCCGTTAGGTTCTCTACGACAGGATCTTGTGTTTTGGATTTTTCCTACCTATTAAGACAGTACGTATATTTAAATCGTCTGGTAGGTATATAATATAGAACATAACATCACACCTTTTATCCCCGAAGGGGTAGAGAGAGGTGCACATTATGGCACTTAATGCCACTGTACAATGTAACACCCACTTTTCACTATTTATGTTATGAGTCCCATGTATTAGGAAGTGAGCTTATTGCCATATACCGGACACATTTCTAGACCCTGTGCTACGACTGATATTTTTTTTAAACTCAAGGATACTTTGCCCGTCCCGGGAATCGACCCCTTGCCCGGCAGTAGCACTTGCGACCAATCAGCCAACGAAGCAGTCATAAAGTATAGCTTGGAATAATTGTAAGGTTACTAAAAATAAATTATTATTTTGACCATTTCTTGGCAACTGGATTCAGTTTCATGATATCACAACCACTGGGATTCATAATTGGTAAAAGAACGCTAATATTATCTAAAGTATGCAATGTTTTCAAGAAATATCGACTGCACGGTTGGCGCAGTGGTTGGGCAACTGGCAACCCCAATACAGCCCGCACGGAACAACTCTTGTATGTAAACTTAAATGTTTTTAAACGCACCCACGGGGGGGGGGGGAGTTTTTTTAAACAGTAAAGAACAGTATATTTATAAGACTATCTCAATACGTATCCACCATTTTAATTTGATTCCTCTAACGCGATGTATTCGTAATTTATCATTAGTTTACGCCTCATTATCAGGTATTTGGGTTCGGTTTCCAGTTTAGCAAATGATGTTGATTTACCTGTATCGGCACTGGCAATGCAAATGAGATTTCAGTCGAAATCTTCATAATGAATGGTGAAATGTTTGAAACATGACGTGTTGATGCGTGTTGGTGTAGTGGTAAGTTTACAAATTAGGATTATAGTATTCATCACTACTACTATTAGTAGCCTACTACTGACTAAAGCCCTCATCTCACACGGAGAAGGTTTGAGCATTAATCACCACGCTTGCCCAATGCGGGTTGATTATTTCAAACTTATAATTAGAAATTATAAGCCCAGGTTTTCTCACGCTGTTTTCTTTCACCGTTTGTCAGTGGTGTCTAAATACTCTTAGAAAATGTAACTTGGAAAAAGTCACATTGGTACTTGCCATTGGTAGGTATCGAACTTGCACCCTCATGCATAAGTAACGGGTGTCTTTATCCTCTACTAAACACGACGATGTAGTATTATAATATTAGTAATCATAAATCCGTCACGGTAGGCAGAGGTTCATATGTCTACGATGTAACATTAATTTTTCTTCAATTGTATTATAAGTCTCATGAAACATGGGTGAACCTTTTGACCTTTGATCTACAGAGTATAAGTTGTAGCTGGAAGGCGGTACCGGACTAATTTTTTATCCTCTGTGCTTGTACTCGACTCCGCTTAACCAATGGGTCAGTCAACAAGCCTGTTTTTGTTGAAGTTGAAAACAATGCAGGGAATGGAATAGAAGTCGCATGCATAAATACAAAGGATAATAATGTCGTAAATGATCAACTTAATGACTAACTGCCGCACTCAGAGACATCATATGATTACTTAAACTATTTCTCAGTAACGATTTTGTATCTAAAATAATTAATAACTTGGACTGGGTCAAGTAACTATTACATGATACTAAGTATGGAGATAAATGTAACAGGTTCACAAAATACGATTAATCACGCCACATCAATCAAAAACCAAATCTATATCAGTTAGAAAAGGTACATTTTCACTTACAAGTTTCCAACTGAGGTCCATTTCCAGTAGTATCCTTGGATTATGTCCTTTAGCCCTGTCTCGAAGGCTAGAGTCCTTTAGGGCGTACCATTTCTTCTCACCACTTTTGATATTCAGCAAAGGTATAGAGAGGCACCCTATGTCTTCGGATTTCTTCTCGTCATGGATGCATATGTCTAGGATTGAGGTGATGTCTGTCACGTCACTGGAAATAGATTAAGATGTGTGTTAATTTATTGTTGAGTATGATTGCTTAATTATTATGTCGATGCTCTCTTAGCATCCGTGCCAGAGGGTGACGCCAGAAAGAAGTATGTGAATGTCTAATATTTTGTAAGAAGATCGATGGCTAATGAAGTAATTATAATTATTGTACTTTTTATATAAGACTAGCGACTCGCTCTGGCTTCGCACGGGTGCAATATGCATGTATTATAGATATAAACCTTCGTTAAGAATCACTCTATCTATTAAAAAAAACCGCATCAAAATCCGTTGCGTAGTTTTAAAGATCTAAGCATACATAGGGACAGACAGACGGCGGATAGCGACTTTGTTTTATACTATGTAGTAGTACATATGAATAAAGTAGTAACAATAAGTTAATTTTAACTCCATAATGCTCTGATAACCCTTTAAACCTCACCCATGGAACTTTAATTTCCATCCTACTTACTAAGCGTAGGGACTATGGAAAACCCATTTGTATGCAAGAGACTCAATGAACCATTCAAGCTGGACATTTTTGGGTCTACTTACAATGTAAAGATCTTCATCCAGTTAGGGTCATTGGTTTTGAATTCAGTATGAGTTTGTACCCTTTCATTATCAATTTCCAAAACGCAGTGGCACTCGTTGCCTGCTAGGCCTTTAGCACCATACACTATAACAGTCAGACTGCCAACTCCTGGAGATTCACATTTTGATTGAGACTGGAAAAGATAAAATAAGCATTTGATATATATATTTTTTTATATATTTGATGGGGTGACGTTTGACCACTATCTCGCCTGGTGGTAAGCGAAATTATGACTAGCAACTCCCATACGGTGAAACCATGCTTGACTCCCATTGGTGTTGTTTTGTTGTTTGTCAAAGCGTGTTGTTTAGAGTTGAAAATGCCAAAGGCTGTGGGTCGACAACTTAAACTAAAAAAAATATATTATAAAGAAAATATATTTTTGGTTTTAAATTGGTTATAAGACTTAGCACTAAACCGAAAAAAATCAGCTTGTCTAAATTATAAGTTACACCGTTTTTGCATGAGTAACGTAGACCATGTTTATTCCGATTTACTGTCGAGATTGACACCTGTATGCTTAAAACCAAAGTAGGTAGGTAGTATTAAAAATAGATAAGGCTCAATCAGTTCGACACCGACATTTTTGTCTCATGCGATATTAGCAATGTTGTTATAGGCACAATGATTTGCAATAACAAATATCTTTACTGGATCTAAAGAAAGCCCCTAACATCTTGTACCTATATTTTATAATCTAGCAGTAGGTAGTACCTAAATAGAACACCTGTTGCATACGTAGGCTACACACCTATAATATGTGTAGGTACGTTTTATAATATATCTACTATTTTGTATTGTAACATACGCATTAATGATATCAATATTTGCTCATTATGATTGAATCGTTTTGCTTTAATCGCAATATTAGAGATAAATATCAAAATATACACTTACAGAATTTTCTAGACCCTGTGTTAGTCTTCGTTGTGTTTCTTGAAAGTCATCAAGGCTTATGATTGAGAAACCAGAAATTGTAAGGAGTAAAAACACTTCGACATTCCCCCCTTCCTCCAATTTGATGCGCATTTTATGTGTCCTCTCCTTTTCCATTTCTGTTAGATCAATGTTTGATCTGAAATTGGAATTTGAGAACATTATTTGATAAAGATTTACAGAATCGAATTTATTAAGTTTAACGACTGATTTGTTTATATTGAGATTCTAGAGCGAACTAGTTTAAGTAATTCGAATTGCATTGTTATCGTCCTAATTTTTATGTGTATCTTGATGAAACCAAAACAATATCTCGATGAATGAAAGTAACCCGAATATTTAATTTGATTATTTTTGAGTAACACTTCACGTATAATATCAATATATGAGATTGAGACTACCTCGTCACATATTCTATGCCGCTGCAAATCCTATAACATTTAGATATTGGTCAGAAAAGTAACCACAATGTCTAATAACAATATTTCATTGGTTCGCTTTTATAATATAAATAATGGTGAGATCTTAAAGTACACAATAGCACAATAAAAGAAAAAAAAATACACTTATCGCTATCTGAAATAAGGGTGACACAAAAAGATTTCATATTACGAAGATTCATTTCGAATTTATATCTCAAATATTGTAAAGAATAAGGTGGATACGAATTGGTGTAAATGATTATTATCATACCTGCCAACACAAAAGTCTTTTTCCCAAAGAGACAGCTCCACAATATTGTCTTCGTATAAATTGAAATTGAACAATTCTTGCCATTTAGCTTTCGATGTGTTTGTTCTTGTGACTTTTGACTTGTATTTCTCTGAACCCAATCTGTAAATATTGGGAGGATGGTTTTATTAAAAATATGGAATCATTTGTGATTTCGATGGTAGACATTTTTCGTAAAGCCAATGTTAATTCAAGAAGCTGGATGGAAAGACCTGATGATTAAGGAGTGGTGGCCCGGAGGTTTAAGACGCCCGCTTCTCGTGCATGAGAGTATGGAAACCTACCATCGGCAAGTACCAATGTGACTTTTTCCGAGTTATATGTACTTTCTAAGATTATCTAGACACCACTGAAAAACGGTGAAGTAAAACATCGTGAGGAACCTGGGCTTAGAATTTCTAATTATAAGTTTGTAATCGCCAACCAGCATTGAGCAAGCGTGGTGATTGATGGTCAAACCTTCTCCGTGTGAGAAGACGCTTTGCTCAGCAGTGGGCATTTATAGGCTGTTGATGATGATAGGTTTAACCTTTCGTGTGTCTAAACGCGGAACCACTTGAGACACATGTATTTTCTATTGTGTATCATATTGGTGCATTCAAGCGGTTAAAGCCAAGGATATACAATGGGACAAATGTCCTGCGACACGTGTCGCCAGCGACGTCGGGTGAAGTAGCGCGATGTTGCCAGACTTTGGTTGACATGCCTGGCAACAACACCGTCACAGAGCACATTGTCGCCATAATTGTCATGTGAAATCGGTTAGCTTTACTTGGCACGTCACCGATGCTTTAGTTTTTATTTATTATTTATAGGCTTTAGTATTTATTTATTTATAAAAATGTTACCTAAAACTATCATTACAGAATTTCTCCAACGAGATTTTTGGGAATGTAACTCAATCGTAGAGAGTAAGTTCGCTATTATTTTTCGCATATATTCTTATCGTGTAGGTCATGTGCGACGTTAGCGGATGATTTCCCTTCAACATTCATCGGCAGTTAAAGTCAAGTCAAGTCAAGTATTGGCGGTCAAAGATTTAAGGAATCTCAACTCTGTGTTATGTTTCTTATGAACGAAGATTGTTTACAAACAAATCTTTTTGTTTATTAATTGTTTGACTGACATCTTGACCTCCTGATAAAAATATTGTCTGGTCTTTATGGTCAGTGCAAGTGTACGACCAAAAGTTTATCTTATCACATGGGATAATTACATAACTGATGAAGACTTGTAACATAATTACCTCTTGACTTCTTGACCAATGATAACCTTACAGGTTAATTTGTTAAGTATAACGCAATTTTTAATTTATTGCATTGACGAACAGGATGTCCATACCTTAGATAACATAGAGGTATAACAAGAGGTTAACAAAGATTATTATTGTAATCTCTACTAACAACATTTTGTTTATACAGATAAAAATGATGTAATCCACGAAACAAACAACGTAGATTAAATAGGCTTGTTTAAAGAAGAAATTGCGAAAAAAGCAATAAATAAGGGGATAGGTATAAACATTTCTACAACTTACCTAAAACGACAAGACAATAGACGGATTTTTTCCTCTGAGATGTCAGTTTCCAAGCCAGTGGCTTCAATTAAAGCGATCGTCACTGTAGCCACTTTTGTTCTTTTAAGCGATTTTACTCGGTCCTGCTTAGTAGTATTGCTGAATATAAACTGGAAACAAAGAATTCTTTATTGATTTTCCCTCAACTTTTCATAAAAACAAACCCTTTTCACTCAAAGAAATTCCAATAAGCAACGGGTAACAATTGCGATACATTAAAATTCCTTTGCAATGTAAAAAGAGTTCTAATAACATTGTAATTATGAAAAAAATGCTTGGAATGTAAATAAAACGAACCTTTTCTACTTTGTCGCGAGACAGTTTCTTCTCATTCTCCTTTTCTTTTTCTCTCTCCTTTTCCTTCTCTTTTTGTCGACGTCTTTCTTTGACAGCTGTAATCCGTGAACCAATTTTATCCCGTATGGAAACCGCTGGCGGAGGCGTATGTGTTGGTGTTGGATATTCATCACTTTCTTTGGACCCTTCATTTAAACTGAAAATGCATTCATGATGTTTTCAATCAGATACACTATGATATAACTGCCCTCTATGAGCGTAATATAATACAACACAAACTTACGATTCTTGACTCAATCTGCAGAAATCCTCGCCAAAAAACCGATTAGAGTCAGAGTCGTCATCGTTTTCATTTTTGTTTTCAAACGGTGTTAGGACTTCAGTTTCTGAAACACTTGACTCTCTAGCGACAACATAATGGGATGTGGCACTATTCCTACGCACCTCTTCTTCTATAACACTTTGTTGTACACGATTTCTTAGTAAAGGCATATCATTGGCCGTATCGAAGTTGTTAATGTCAGCACTACTCGCGTATCTCGGTTCCATATAGACGTAATCTTCCCTGAGCGATGACAGCGAGTCAACTGATCTTGATTTTTCCATTTTTCTTTGCATTTCCTCATATTTGTTGATTATTTTCTCATGTAGCCTCGCAAAGTGACTCTTTTTCAATGTTTCACCGTTACGACGCACATCTGCCATTGATTTATAACAAAATAGGAAATTTTATAGCGCAAAAAGACTTAAAATATTTCTCACTGCGAATGACACTTTAACACTGGCAAAACATTTGCTGTGTGTCGAGTATAGATAACGTTATCAACTGAGTTATTGATTATTTTGACTAATCTATTATCTTTTAGACCACTTTTAGTCTTAGGGGATTTTCATTTGAGTAATGAACATTACGTATTGTTGGCATAGTCTAAGTATAAGTTGAAACGCGATAATATTTTATATGCCCAATCGCAGTGTTCTGTAAGTACAACTTTAAGTGCAGATAGGGGACAGATAAGGGTTTCTAGTCTGATTGTATTGATAATTAATGAAATGTGATTCATACACAAAGAGTTGGTAGGTGGACGTGGAATTTTTATGTTTGATTAAAAAATAATACGTATATTAGACGTGAAAATTTGGTAATCGTATAATTGCGTAAGCTATTTCCTGTTGATAAATGAGTATCTATTATGTAGTGGTGTTACGAAATCCAATAGAAAACGTTCATTTTTATTTTTTTGAAATAACCTTCGTCAGACGCATATAAACAAAATCAAAGCATTTATTTCAATTAATCCTTAATTAGGCACTTTTCAAACATCCAAAATTGAAATCTTCATCGATCTGTCAGCCAGTGAAGCTAGAACACCTATCCTAATTACGTAAAAAGTATTATGAAAAAATAATACATACTTTTATTTGTCGACCCAGCAAAATAATAAAAAATATATATTTTTTATAGTATAGCAAAACTTTAAGAATACAACGATGTTACGTGGGCCCAACTTAATGGAGCAGAATGTATGATAATGAAAATATAGGGAGACAGATGATTGAGCGTGGACCATGAATGGATGATCTTAGAAATGATTAAATTGTAGTTATAGGAATAGTAAAACATCTGTTGATATTTATAGGGGAAAACGAAGGGAACCAATCGACCACAGGCACCTTAAAATAGAAATAGGGTTTGATTCAATTATTCATGGGTTAACATTATTACAATTGCCTTAACATGTGTGTAGAAATAGGGTTTGCTTTAATTCCTTGCTTAACATTGATACGGAATTCACGAAATTTTCTTTATGTTTTTAACAACTTTAAAAATGTCAAATTTTACCAAAAATTTATACAAATCGAGACTTTTGTTTTTAATTTAATTTCAATAAAGTGCTACAAAGTAAAATGAAAAGATATTTTACTGTATCTATTACATACATACATACGATTGACGATTGTAGCGATAATAGATAAGTAGTAAATATAATATTTTCGTTATCTTATAAAGTAAGTCTTTGATATATACACTTCCTTGTGACATTCCTACTTTTATTGATCAGTAATGGAAATAAAGAAATTACTTTTCCACTGTCTACTCAGGATAAAAAGAACTATAAGATAGCAGAAAGCAACGCACTTGATGATAAAGCATTTGTGACTCCTTTACAGTAGAGGGTATCTAAGGGTGGTGTTGATCGCTTACCATCAGATGGTCCGTCTGCTGGCTTGCCCCTATTCCATAAATAAAAAAGTTTTTAGTGGAACTTGAAGTTCTTATTTTGTTACGCTTGACGCTTCAGCTCTAGAACCTTCTACTGGTTTCACTCTTGCATCACACTGTAGCTGCAAATAATTCTTAAAAATATTAGTTTGTGTACAATTTGTAACTTAATAAAGTAGAATGACAGAAGATCACCAGAAAAGAAGATAGACTGATAGAAGATTGAATGTCGAGAGGCGATGATACATTGTGACTGGCGAAGGCAAAGGCGTTTTGTCGTAGTCAGTAAGTTCTAGTAATGAAAGTGATCAATACGATAAAGGTGACAATTTGGCTACTTCAGGGTTTTTTTTCGAGGGGGGAAAATCATCCAATGACTTCTCCCTCCCGGGTGAGGCGAGAGGGAGTGTCAGACTCTTACTGACTAAAAACCACCCCGTTCCTACTCCTGCACTTCGAGCCGGAGCCCCGGCAACCCGTTAAGTCTTCCGCGGCTCCGTATCGGTATCAGCCCTGTTGGGCCCCATCTGTGGTGGTCTGATGGCTTCTTGAGGCGCGCTCGGAACGCGACGCGACGTACGCTCGGGCCTGGTTCTGATCGGGCGGCGAGGCACCCGTGCTCGCCGTCCACAGGCCCGGCTTTATCAGGGTGGATAACCAATTAATTCTATATCAAGCAGAAAGAGTTTTGACTTGCTTGAAACGATTCATTCATGTTTTGACTAGTCTTTTGAACCTCCTTAATCGATAATGTCATAATCTACTTTTGTACAATTTACGATTATCCTTTACAAATAACACATGAGCCATATTTATTTTATAATGGAACCACGATAATGATAAATGGATAAAAACCAACACTCATTGATAGAGAAAAGAAAAAACCCATTTTCAGTTAAAACCTTGCTTTTTGATTGGTTGGTGGGCCCTATGACGCGTTATAGGCAGGCAGATTATTACTGATCAGAATTATCAGTACTATATCAGTATTGTGATGATATATATCACTGACTGATAAACATATTTTATGAATAATATTTTACTGTAATATTTTGACTTAATTTGAATTTTAAGTGTGGATGAGCCGTGCTTCGGCACGAATGGGCTGGTCGACCGGGGTGACACCACGGCCTTACAAAACCGACGTGAAACAGCGCTAGCTTTATGTTTCAGCGTGTGGGTGTGTTTACTGGAGGGTCAATTACCGGGGGGTGAAACAATGAAGATTGGAGAGGGGTCTCCAATCTTCCCAGTCCCCGAATTTCGAAGAATCCTACAATTTTTTACCCCCAAAAGGCCGATAACGCACTTGTAACGCCTGTGGTGTTTCGGGTTTCCATGGGTGGCACCAATTGCTTACTATTAGGTGATCCGTCCGTTTATTCCATAAAAATCTTTGACCAGCGAAAAACCGTTTGTAAAATGTAATAGACATCCTCCTTAGAGTTTTCGTTTTCCTCATTTTCTGTTCTTGTACCACTTTGCTTGTCATAGTCATGAGGTCGTTCTGTATTCATACATACACATTACGCCGTTTATTCCCGAAGGGGTAGGCAGATTTTGTACATTACGGCACTTAATACCACTGTACAATGTAACACACACTTTTTAATATTTATGTTATGAGTACCATGTAATATCATCGAGTCAGCCTATTGCCATATATCGGGCACAATTCCAGATTCCGTGCTACTACTGAGAACTTTTTAAAAACTGTATTCATTTTACTCCATTCTTTTTTATCAGTTAGTTATGGATGATCATACACCCACTTTCACTCTTATCGTATTACGCACATGCATCTATCTGTCTTTTGTTTGCTTGTCCTTTACGTAATATTTGACATTCAAACTCAATATTTGATAGGAGATAAATCACTACATAGTATAAAACAAAGTCGCTATCCACCGTCTGTCTGTCCCTATGTATGCTTAGATCTTTAAAACTACGCAACGGATTTTGATGTGGTTTTTTTAATAGATAGAGTGATTCTTAAGCAAGGTTTATATGTATAATACATGAATATTGAACCCGTGCGAAGCCGGGGCGGGTCGCTAGTAAATCAATAGTTTAATCTGTATCGGGTTACTTACAGCATAATTTCATAAATCTTTCCGTATTCGGGCGTAATTGTTACAAACCTTATTTGCTTATACAAGAACGAAACGAACTAAAAACTTCACGAAGCACAGCTTAGATTGTGGCACATAAAAAGTAATTAATTTTTTTATTAAGACTACATGAGATGTGGTGACCTAATGTTTACAAACATTAAGGTAGTATCCATTTTCTAGAACGCGTCTACTTAAAATAACTCAGATTTTTATTTTACAACTACTAGTTACAAAATTCAAGTTCTTCAGTACAAATTTCATTATTTTGGTTTTCTTAACACATTTATAGAGAAGAGTCTAATCTACTATATAAAAATAAGTCGGGTTTTCCTTCCTGACGCTATAACTCCAGAACGCACGAACCGATTCCTACGGTTTTGAATTCGTTCGTTCGCCGGGTTTGCTAGTATTGTATACAATTATGTCCTAAACTGCGACCGCGATTAACTACTACGGCTGGTCATAAAAGCCCGATCTTAAATTTTTCAGTTGCCTAACTAATAACCTCAGTTCAACTGACAATTGTTCAGTAGAGAGTAAATTCCCAATAATCTGGTCCACGATGGAAGATCAGATATTGACGTCTATCGGTTCTAAGCTCTCATGTTACGGAGCCGCAGAAGGCTTAACGGGTTGCCGGGGCTCCAGTTCGAAGTGCAGGAGTAGGAACGGTTTAATCAGTAAGACTCCGACACTCCCTCTCGCACACCCAGGCGGGAGAACTCATTGGATGATTTTTCCCCTCGAAAAAAAGGCTCTATCTCCGACTACATCCTAGTCGTCACCGTAAAAAAGTTTATCAGAATATGTTTCGCACGGCATAGGCTGTATGGCTACGTCATCATCATCATTAAAATTGTTTTCATTAAAACTTAATGAATGAGCCTCCAAAAATCGCTCCGTGACGTATAATCCTGTGATACGGGGGGTACAAAGGGCACATCCTTAAAAGTTCCGTTATAATGAATCATTTTTATCATCAAAGTAGATAATGGTATTATAATGTGTACTTAATATTGTAAGCGGTTGTGGTATCTTTAAAAGGATCTTTCTAAAATCCGATTATTAAGCAGATTCTTTTTCAAAATATTGAGGATCCTTAAACTTAAATATTTTGGTGACTGTTCGAAAAAACTTTTAGTCTTCCGTCAGTTCCGGCTTTTGATCATCTTAATCAGACTAGACAAAGGTCGAACACCTCCGTAGTTCAGGATAGGAGTTGTAAGGTTTTTTTATACTAGCAGACGGATCACTTGATGAACATCAGATGTTACATGAGAAGTTACAAGTGTGCTTAAGCAGACATCATAGAGCAGTAGTACAAATTTTGATCAGAACTGAGCTTGCTTTTTAGATTTTTAACAATA